CCTCCCTTTCTCCCCCACCTTTACACTTACAACACAGTAACTAGGAATGCTCTCTGAAATGATATAAAGACTTTTTAAAAGTTTCTTAGGGCCAGCCAGATAGCTTAGTGGATTAAAACGCCTGTTTAGGCAGACACAGGGACTCAATATCAGGTGTATGGTGCTGGGCACACTGAGAGGCAGTTGAGACTGGGTGTGGTGGCGAGTGCCTGTAATCCCAGTGCTTGGGAGGCTGAAAACAGGCTAACTATGAGTCCAATCTGTGTAGTGAGACCTTGTAGACCCTGTACTAGACACATAAAAGAAAAAAAAGTTTCTTGAAGATTTTTAGCTAAAAGTTCATCACTGGCTGTGAAGATTATATATTGAAGCTTTAGAAATTGACTACAGACTGGGAAAACTCATAACTATGCATGGTGAATCAGTTATAAACGCTAGGCAGACACTTGTGCCACTGAGCTATCTCCCCAGTCCCCTCAGTTACAAGTGCTAATATGTGCTATTTCTGCGTTTCTCAAGGAGGAACTGCTGCCTTGTTAGGGTTGAGCACCTAGTAGTACTACAACTCGAAGTCTGCATCGTGAGAAATGATGACAGCGTGCAGCCTCGCCACTTGTGTGCTTTTCTCTGGCAGCACTGCGCTTGTCTTGAAACACCCCAGTGCGGCTTGTGCAGGGTGACAGCGGTATCCCAGTGTTCTAGGGCAATGAGTCAGAGGGTCATATTCATAGCTGAAATAATGTTGATGCTAGCTAAGTATTCTTTCATCTCCTAGGAGTTTCTGACGATCAACAAAATGATGACTTAAAGAACAAAAAAATCTAAAATATTTTGAAAGTTTCCAAGTGACTCACAGCAGCTAGCTTGCTTGTTTTGCTCTACAGATGCAGCAGGGTATAAATAGATGTGCTATGGCCTGTAGTGTGAACACAGCAGAAAATAATATTTTCATTACTAATAGCTCTGTTTGGGGCTCAGATGCTCGTAGCTCCTGGGCATTTGGAAATATTTCTCAGTTTCCTCCTGGTGATTTGCCTACATAAGACTGCAAATAAATGCTCTCTCATTTCCAGGTGTGTTCCTTAAAAGAAAAGTTTTCCACACTAGACTACCGTAAATAAGACCTTTAATCCACAGTCCTGGACCAGCCTTCCCCTGGCTTTTGTTGTTGTGCATACGAAATATTATTGGAGGTGTACTAGCCGCGGAGTAGACTTGAAGGAGCTTAGCTTTTTCTTAGCAGCTGCCGTAATCTAAGGCTGCGAAGACGAACCTTTCAGCACTGTCGCTGAGGCCAACAGCCCACTGCTGCCCTTGTGCCGTAGGCTCACCACCACTGCTCTAAGCTGTACATTTAGAATGTCAGCACATTTTGAATTAGACGCTCACTTCCTGCCAAAACGTTTAGCTACTGCTACTGGCCAATGGGTAGCCTTTATCACTGTTACTCTTCTTGAATGACAATATAGACATTAGAACACTCAGTCCTTGTTTTCACCTCTACATGTTCATCTCTGTGTTCAGTGTATCTACTCCAAATCAAGAGGCGACCATTATAATATATCTGTGAATTTTTTAACTGCTTGTTTGATTTTTTTGAGGTTAGGGGAGTTTGAGACAGTCTTGCTATGTAGTTCAGACTAGCTTTGAATTTACTATGTAGCCCAGGCTGGCCTGGAACTTGTGGCAGTCCTCCTGCCTCAGTTTCCCAGGTGCTGGGATTATAGGCATACACCACCATGCCTGGATTACTTGTTTGATTTTTGCATTATGGAAAAAAATGTTAAAAAGTCATGTCTTTGGCCTTCCCAGTATGTATAATAAAATGGGTGCTTAAGTAAAAGGATGTGTAGGGT